TTGATCTCAGACTGAGAGTTGCATCATTGGCATCCTTAGTTCTGAGGCCTTCAGACTGGGACTGAGCCACACTGTAGATATCCCCGGGTTCCAGGTTGCAGACAGTCTGTCATGGGACTTCTCATACATGAGCTGATTCCCCTAATAAATCCTTTCTCATATATCTGTATACGTATCTTATTGGTTCTGTCTCTTTGAAAACCTCTAATACAGATTTGGTATTGGGGAAGCCAAGTATCATTCCTTCTTACCATATTCCTTCTAACACAATGGAAGGGATCAGTGAAATTGTTCCCTTGCAAAAACGCTGTGATAAATTAAGTATATGCGGCTACTTAATGGTAAAAGATAAATTTTAAAATATAATTGGTGCTATGAATACAGAAAATCACTTAGTTGTAGTGGTCAAGCAATAACCAGACTTTCAAATAGACAGCATACACTTCAAAAATTTGTAGACCACAACCACCCTCCAAATACAAGTGGAGAGAGTGTTTTGAAGATATTAGAAGTGAAAATGCAAACAAAAAAATACAAGAAATCTCCCCTGCCAAATTTTTCAATGGTGTACAACTTCTGCCCCTTCATACATAGTGCCAGTTTGTTATGCTGAGCATTTCATCTTCGCATAATTTCCAACACTGGAGGTATAAATTGTGTAAACATTTCAAGAGTTCTAATTTGCATTTTTATAAATTTGAGTCCACGAAAGTGCATTATTACAATGTTAACTTTGGGTATAAGCACTGTGCATGTATGAAAAAGGTTGAAACTTCCTCAGTAAATGAAGAGATGTCCATTTTGTACATCTGCATATGTGAAAGATAACATTTCTTGAGATCTTGGCTCTTTGGATATGGATAACTGCATATTCAGTGGTTGACCCGTCATAGTTTTTCATTGATCTCTTCAGAAGACTTAGGTTGTTCAACACGGTATTTCATGCAGCTGACTGCAGTTATAAAGCTGGCGGCACACAGTTGCCAAGCTTAGTGGTATGCATTTATGCATTTTGCTTTTTGACATGTTTCCTTATGAATGTGGCTTTTCTGCTTGTAGCTATTATACCCATGCACCTATGATTAATATATCTGAGTGTTTATACTTGCAAAAATATATGTTTTTATTGCCTGTTTTATTGTGTAAAGTGACCTATCAAGTATTGTTAGGTTTTTATGTTTCTAAAATACCCTCTTTATAAAATAAATACATGTCTTTTTTTAAAAAGGAATTTTTAAAAATTATTTCTTTCCAGAATTATACTTTTAGGATTTTGATCTTTCAGGATTGTGATTTTCATTCAAGATTTTACACTCGGGATTTTGGATCTTTCAGGATTTCAACATTTGGCATTATGGTTCTCAGGAGTGTATCTGTTAGAATTATGGCCCAGGCCCATTTGGCTGATTGTGTAGTTTTAAGTTTTCTATATTCTTGGTGGTTTTCTGTTTAGTTGTTTTATTTTTATTGAGAGTAATGTATTAAAATCTCCATCTATCATGTTGAAATGTCTGCTTGTCCTTCCAGTTTTGTCAGTTTTTTACTTTATATAATGTTGGACTCTCGTTAGATGTCTATGTATTTATAGTTGACTTATTTTTCTAAAGTATTATCCATTTTACTATTATGAAATATTTCCTCTTTGCCTCTTATAGTATTTCTTGTCTTTTTTTTTCTGATATGAATATAGCTGCTCTCTCTTATGTTACTTTTTGCATGGTATGTATTTTTTTCCATCCTTTTACTTTTCAACCTATTTGTGCCTTTGAATCTAAAGTGTATTTCTTATGGATAGCATATTGTTTTTTATGCAGTTGACAGCCTTCCCATTTGACTGGGTTATTTAGTCTGTTCACATTTAATGTAATTATTGATATGATTACGTTTATTAATACATCACCCATTTTGCCATGTGTAGTCTACATATCTTGTATTTTTTCCCTGTACCTCTCCTTTCATTACCTTTTTTAATGTTAGATAAATATTTTTAGTGTGCAATTTCAATTACTGTGCCAACCTTTTTTAACTGTATATTTTTAATTATCTTCTTGTTGCCTCTGAACATGATAAGCCATTTTTCTATTGATGCTTTCAAGATTTTTTATGTATCTTTGTCTTTTATAGTTTGATTATGATGTGTATATGTGTGGGTCTCTTTGTATTTATCCTACTTGGTCTTTATCAAGTTTAAGTCTTTTAATATTTCTCATCAAAATTTAAATTCATAATCACACCTTGTTGCCCCATTTTACAATAATGAAAAAAAAAGTGCAGGCCTTAGTAATTTTTGCAGCCATGTAAAAACACTTTTTTGCACATTTAATTATTTTTGAAATATGTTCAAAATCATTTATTTTACTTGCTTCCATGTACATTTTGATGGATTTTTTTCAAATACCTTTAAATAGATGGTTTGTAAATAATGCAATTCAGAGGTATTGATGACATTTTTATTGTTTTTCTATAAAAATAAATTCTTAGAATTGGCATCAGCACACTTAAAGTGTAATAGTCTAGAAGCTTGTAACTGTCTTTGACTTTTTCCTATTTTATTATTTTTCATATTAAATCAAGCCTACCTCATGCTTTCGTTAAAGTACCTCTGGAATTTGTCTTCAAATTCTATCGCACTGCATCTGTTCTAGTCAAATGCCTACTCGTTTTGTCAGCCTAGTATCTCCTTCCATATCATTGCTTTCTGCATATTTGCCTGTCTAACCTTTCCAAAAAACATCCCTTCATCCTTTAAGATTCTTCAGAAGATGTCATATTCTCACAATAGTAAGTCCAGGCTCCTCTACCCAATATTTATTATCATTCCTGTCTCCACCAAACTCTGTCTCTCTGTATTGAATTTATTTTCTGCTCTTCTCCTATTGGTCTTTGTCATTTGTTGGTCCCCAAAGAGCCCATTGTGCAAGCTGTATTTAGTTTTTCACTTGCATGCCTTTCCTCATGGTTTTAACCCCGCCCCCATGCCCTGCTGGGAATCCTTTACATGTTTTCTTTGTGCCTTATTCAAATTCCCATCTCCAGTAAATTTTGGAAGAGTTTCTCCAAGCCTTCACATAACCTCTGAGCTCCTCTTGCAGCTTGTTGGTTGTGTGTGATGTGCTTCTCAATGGCAGAGGCCTTGTCTCATTCTTGTCTTGACACTGCCCATGTTAAGTCTGGGATTGGTTGCTCTTCTCTCCCACATAGTCATTTTTTGATTTTTAAATTTAGTTCTTTTCTCTTTTTCTTTGTATTTCTTCTTATGACTTATAAAACACGATGATTCTTCCTCATGTTTTATCCCCACACACCCAAAATCAAAAGCATTTTTGTTTTGTGAAAGAGATAGACAGGCTTAGCAAGGTGGAATACTGTGCCAGGGGAGCCAAGCATGAAATTGACTCTCCTGTGCACTAGTTAAGTTCAAGTAGAAAACTCCCTTTCAGAGTCACAGGCTATATACTGAATCCTACCTGCCTGCTCCGCTGCAGGTGTATATTTTGTTCAGTATTGAGGAAATTGAGCAGTAATGTATGAACTTCCCAGCACAAATTTGTAAATATTAGAAAAATAACTACGAGTTAGGGTATTTTGGACTTGTATTACTTTTATAAAGTAAAATAATTATTTTAAATTCTCTAACAAAAGGTCTGTAGCAAAGATCAGCAAACCTTTTCTGTAAATGGCCAGCTAGTAAATATTTTTAGGTGTTGCAAGCCACATATGATCTCTGTCACGTGTTCTTTGTTTTTATTGTTGTTTACCATCGTTTAAAAATGTTTAAAAAAAAAAAAACCAGTTTCAGCTTGCAGGCAGGACAAGAGCAGGCCACAGGCTAGATTTGACCTGTGAGCCATAGTTTACCACCACCTGGTCTATAGCAATGAGAAAAGCTACCCTGTTCAGTTGAGCATCCAAGATGGCAGAAGACTGTTATCCAGTAGAGAAGACATAGCTAATACTAATCCAACTGTTGTACAAACTGGAATGTGCACAGAGGGGTACTGTCAAGTGGTAGAACCTGGGAAATCTTAACCTAGGAGGAATGGCTCAGGAATAGGGACAGGATGAAAGAAGGGGAAGAGTGGTCTTCGACATCTAAGTCTCCATGATGTGAAAGTAGACTTGTCCTGCACAGTGCTGACTAGGTCTTCAGTATAATGTGCTGTCCTGGAAAAGAGTAAATGTCCTTCCCCTAAAATGGTGATTTTTCCCTGAGGGACTAAGTTCCTTGTAAGGAACTTCCTAATCTTCACTCAAGTCTTACGTGATTTGATGTATGAAAAGGACCTAATTGTACTCACCATGGAACAGATGACAACTGTAGGCATCAATGATGAGGAAATTATGGAGTAAATGGAAGTATTTAATTTGGGAATTAAAGTAAATCTTTATAGGGTATGTATACTTTGGGTTTTTTAAAAGGTGCCACATGCCTAAACAATATCTAAAAATGTTAGTTAAACTGTATCTCATTTTATTGTTATAACCTTTACCATGATGAACATTTCCAAAAGACATTCTAATTTCTACTCCAGAAATCTATTTAGCTCATATGAACAAGTTGCACTTACTTCATTGCTATTATTCATAAATCTCCTATTTTCTTCTTAGATGGATGGTAAAATCACACAAGTAGCAAAAACCAGGTTCCTTGAAGTGACTGTAATTGTTCTTTTCTCACCCTGGCAACAAACTTGACTCATCAAGATGCAGAAGCCACAGTGACAGACTTCTGGTTCCAATTCACCACTTTGTGTCTCTTTTTTTCTCCATGCCAGCCGGCCCTTTTCTCCACTTAAGAAATTCTGGCAGGGTAATTTAAAGACGTCCACCTAGGTTGGATTATTTGCATTTTCACCAAAACTCCTGTTCTTCAGCATTCATGTTTGTGGAAATAGTTGCAGCTACTGATTTCATTTGGTTAAACTGTTATAATATTGATTCATTTTGTTTATTTCAGTTCATAAGGATGCAATTTATCCTAATTTTGATTTTGGTTGTAGAGGTTGGCGATTTGAAGGAGCTGCAGACACTAGACATTTCTACCAATCGTTTGCTAACTTTACCCGAGAGGCTTCACATGTGCCTTTCTCTGCAGTACCTCACTGTGGACCGAAATCGTCTATGGTATGTGCCGCGCCATCTCTGCCAGCTGCCCAGCCTCAATGAGCTCTCCATGGCTGGAAACCGTCTTGCATTTTTGCCACTTGGTAAGTAATTGTGTTTAAAGTAAAACGGCCAAAGAATAAGATGGAAAGCTTTTGTTTCTTTGACTGGAACCAATTAGTTAGTTTCCTTCCTTGTGTTTATCTTGATGATTGCTTCTCTAAGTTTGTTTTTGCAATGAACAAAGTGTCATTCCTAGTTAACAAATGGAATTTATTTCAGTGAGGGATTTTATACTTTAAAAAAGAAATCTGTGCTAAAATTGTGTTTAGGGACAAAATATATGAGATGATTTCCTCAGAGAAAGGAATTAAAGAGTGTGTGTGTGTGTGTGTGTGTGTGTGTAAGGTATTGAACAATATGAAAAGATAGCTACTGGTACAAGTATTGGCTTAGGTGTTGACTTCTCCCTAGGAAAATTGGTATTGGGTATCCTAATAGTTAGTATTGCCAAATAACCAGATTACAACACTTTGAAGACCTTAAAATTGGCTGAACTTCCTGCTGAGCTAGAAAGTCAGCTTGGCTAAAAAATAACGTATTATCCACTGTAGCTGTAGCTGACTCATTTTGACATAATATATGTCAAAGTACATGGGCCTTGAATAAAACAGTACATTTATTTTGTAGATAGCTGAATAATTTTGTTAACTTGTAAGAAACAAACGTGCCACTTAAAAAAATTTAAATATGAGGCCTCTTCGAAACTTAAACTGTCACAATAAGCATCATATGATTTTACTCATAAAAGCATTTTTATAGTGAATAATTCATCTCTGAGGGCAGTAAATAATTTACTAGTCCCTAAAGGAAATATTTTCCAACATAATACAATGCACATACTATTTTCAATTTAATATGTTCAAGGTAACTTTAAAATACTGAACACATTAAAATCAATTGAAGTGATAATCAAATTTAAGGAGATTATTTTTTTCCATAAATATAATTATGTTTTGTACTTATAAAATTAACAAAATGAGGCCGTTTCAGAAGCAGGCTACATTTCTAAGAAATCAGAGCTTCTTTCAAGTGAGAAAAATATCAAATATAAATAGATTTTTAAAAATAAAGGTACCTGCTGCTCTAACCCCACAGGTCATGCATAGACCAATTATGGTGGACAAGCACCAAATTACAAATCTAGAGATCCAGGTTATAGCCTGATTCCACCATTTCACAGTGTGTGACCTGGAGTAAGTCACCGGAACCTCTCTGAGCTTCATAAATTTTATTTTCCATGAGCCAGACATCATATTTATCCTGCTTCCTTTATAGTTATTTTGAAGTCGAATATGATAGTTTATGTATAAGAATTAGAAAGCACTGTACAAATGTAGATGACTCTCAAATGAGAAGATACAACTTGTAGATTACCATATCTGACTTAAAAAATGTTTACTCTTGAGCCAGGCATGGTGATGCATACCTGTAGTCCCAGCTACCCAGGAGGCTGAGGTAGAAAGATCACTTGAGCCCAGGAGTTTAAGGATGCAGTGAGCTATGACTGTGCCTGAGAATAGCCACTGCTCTCCAGCCTGGGCAACATACCAATACCCCGTCTCTAAAAAAAATTGTTTTTACTCCCCTCACATTCACCTCATCTCCTTGTAGTAAGTACCTAAACTTGTACTTACCACTTCCTAATGGAGATGGAAATGTGACTTATACCAGTGCCAACTCCCTTCCAAGTGATTGCCAGGATGTTGCTGTCAGTGCTGGCAATACATGAGGGAAGGCAAGGAGGGAGGGAGGGAGGGAGATAAAGGATGTGATGGTTTTATTTGTGTGGCATAGAATGCAACTTACTGGCATAACACCAGATTCAGAGTAAAGTTGCAAATTTCGTTGTAAGTAGCCTTTAACCTACTGTGGTTTGACTTTCAGACTTTCAGAAACAGATTAGCTTGTTAAGTCTGGGGTTGCCCATGCTACTATTCATAATGTTGTTGTTATTATAGACAATATACATAAAAAGGAGTGTTTCCGTGTGCAATAATGGTATTATGTATACTACTATGACTATTTGTAAGAATAATAATAGCTATCAGATCCGGCCACTGCATTCCAGCCTGGGTGACAGAGCGAGACTCCGTCTCAAAAAAAAAAAGAATAATAATAGCTATCATTTATTGAGCACTGAGCCTTCGGCCAGGTATTCTATTTAATATGCTCACTAATTTAGTTATTACAAAACCTTAATGCAAAATCTATTATTATAAAAGTTATTGGCAACCTAATTTTGCAGATAAGGAAATTGAGGCTCACAGAAGTTAAGTAATCTGCCAGAGTCACAGCTAGTAAGAGACAGAATTGAGCTTTGTCTGATTCCAAACCTACATTGCCACATTGGCATGCTGTCTCCATATTTCAGACATGGTCTCTCTACAGGGGGACCTTATTTGGGAATAGGGCTGAACCGTATTGAGCATCATATTGTTTGTGGCACCGTATTGTTTGTGGCCGTTTCCAGTGTCAAAGTTTGGCTCTGCCATTTTGGGCTCAAGATACTCCTAGTGACACTCTTGTTGGCCTCATTCAATATATCTCTCTATTCACTTAACAAGATTACCTGCTGGAGGCTAGTGCTTTATCTCACCTACCCACTCTGTACACCAACCTGGTGCTCCCAATTACTTGTTTCCACCTGGCCTTGTGTCAGTAGCTTCTGCATCAACAGAAATCTTATAAAAGCCTAGGCCTGAACCCTGTTATCTAGATCTATCTTGGTGCTAGTAACTCTTCTTCCATTGCCCGGCCCCTACAACTTCAGCAGAGCTCCTGGTTCCTTAATTTGGAGGTGTGCTCCTAATAAATTGTTTTTCTCTTGTCTTGGTTATTCTGTTACATATTCTTTGTCTCAGCTGTAAACCATTCATACAACTACTGGCTACATTGAGCCTGCCAGAGTCTGATCCATAGCCCTCTTCTCTTGTCTGATACTCAGATGTGCTCTTACCACAATGCCATCTGGTTCTAGAGCCCTAGCTCTGCCTAGATTCCTGCACACAATTGAACTCCTTAAGTTGAATGACTTTTGTTTGCTGCAGCTGGTTACTGTGCCCTTCGCCTTGCCTATTCTGCCTCCCTCACTATGGTTCCTTAGCCTTGGCTCCTCATTCCCCTAGTCATTGGCCACTCATTCCTGCCTTTCTTTCAGCAGTGACACAAGCTGAGTATGTGCCAAGGTGGCAGTGGTGGTGGGAGAATAGAGGGAAGCCATTCCCATAGGAAGCTGACCACTGTCATGTTTGGGGCCCTGGGAGTGATGCTGTGTGTCATGCTGAATGCTTGCAGCAACAGAGGACCCAACTTGCAGTGGCTGGTGCAAGGTTAAAGAAATGGTTGTTGGTAGAGAACTGAGTGCTACATACACATGGTTAGTCTGCTCTTCTGCCTTGGCACCCTCAGTTATTTACTAGGGCATCTTCTGTATGCACCATGCTAATGGCCAGTGTGGCTAGGGAGGTGGGCATCTCTTCTTTGGTACACAATCTTCAGTGGTGAGTTGAACTATTACAGAGTAGCTTCTGTCTCTAGGTTTCTTGTTACTCCAAAGCCTTGCCTCTGTGTCAGGAGCAACCTTCCTTTGTGAATTTGTGAATGTGGTGTCAAAGAGCTTTAGAGGCAAGAGGGTCTACTCTGCACTTTGAGGAGGATGCCTTATGGCAGTTGAAGTAACCACAACTCCCAATCTTGGCCTGCAGATAGCCCAGGATAGGAAGCAGCTTCCACAAGGCTCTGGTCACCATCCTGGCCCATAAGGCTTACAGCCCTGGCAGAATATGGGCCTGTGAATAGGTTTTACTTTACTTTAGAAAAGCATACAAGCAAGAGGATGATGATGATGAAGATTATCCAGTATAAAAGAAGCAGGCTACCTGAAGCAATGCTCTGTCCTGGTCTAAAACTGGATTCTTTGAGAACAGCAGGAAGAAAGGATCAGGGAGCAAATACAAGCCCTGGTGGCCTTGCTGCATCTGGTATACTGGATATTCTTTGTAAGAAATGGATGAGACAGCTAGAGAGCTCTGTGTGAGGTCACTCAAGGAAGGCTTCAGGAGACTAGAGACAGGATAATCCACGGAGATGAAGAAACTGAAGCTGACCAAAATAGCCACAGTTTCCTCATTCTCGTCTTTCTGTTTCTGGGGGTATTTTTTGCCATCATGAAGATCGATTTGGAAATTGAATTCAGTTCTGTCTTTAGGAAGAAAACAATTAAATTTATACACTTAAAACCTTTCCATGAACCTTTTTCTGAAAAACCAAAGGCATCTAATGCTAAGAACTATCTGGGAGAGAGCCAAACAAAGCATGCAGCCTCTGATACTGCCTTTTTTTTTTTTAGAGAACTGAACTGTTCTTAGAAACTTAGCAAATAGGGGTATCTCTTTACAGTAGTTTGGAAATACTCTGCACATACACACAGGCACACACTCACATGTACCTCTAAGGTTTTCAAATATTAGAAGGCTTCTGTGTTATAAGAGCCTTGATCCTATAAGAATAATACAGGAACTTGAAAGTTTTATGAAACGAATGCTGTGATATCGCTCCCTATGATAGGAGGTGGGAATCTTATTTTGGGGAGCCACTTAATGAATTCAGTTTCTTGCCAAAGAAGTGTGACTTAGGAGAAAACCAGTCTTCAAGTGGCTTCTTAAAGAAATGTAAGATTATAGCCTCTTCAAAAGGTAACTAAAGATACCATATGTAAGGGATGACTTAAATCACTTATAATACTGTCTAACCCATTAACAGTCTTTGAGTATGTTTCCCTAAGTCACTTGTAATACTGTTGAAACCATTAAGACTCTTTGACTGTGTTCTTCTTAAGATGAAAAGATGCATCAAAAGAAAAGGATGTTCCTATTATTACTATGCTAGCACAACTGAGTGACAGAAGATTCTACAGATAGAAGCTTTGTTCACGGTGGTGACTATCAGCAAGGAAGAGGGGAAAGCAGTCACTTGAGCCTAGTGCTATGAAATGTAATAGTGGCCTCAAAACTTGAATATTTGCTTTTGATTCAATATAGCT